CCCTTCGAGCGAAGGCTGGTTTGTGCATGTTTATGAGTGGTTCCGGGTGGGTGTCAACGCGTGTTCGACAAGTCAACCAGTCAGAAACGGTATTCAGGGTCAGGCCGAAGGTACAGTGCCGGAAAGGTCAATCAAGCCGTGTTGATGAGGATAGCCTACACACTGGAGTGTATAGTCTACACTCCTCACAGACAGGTCAGGATAAATTTGGGTTTAAATTAGAATTATTCTGGTTAGAGGGCTTGACGGAATTCAAGGAGTATTTACAAGAATTGTGGAATGTCCCTGACTAGTTTCCACAAACGTTAATTGGTCGGTTTGGCTGTTAATGCGGTCATCCACTGGTTGATAAGTTTAACTCTTCAACCAGTCAACCAACGCCACACCCCGTTGTCTATTTTATCGCTTGATAAATGCGTTGCACAATCTAAACCTGGGTACACTTCACTGTATCCCAGCGGGTACATACATCAGCCTATATAATACACATCGCAATGCCATAGACACAGCCTTAAATGAGAGCGACAAAACAGTAGTGATTCCGTCTAAACTAGACGAAGGAGAATGGGGAAATGTCATGTTACAATGACTGAGCATAATCAGTCTTTCCCAATGAAGTTAACTGTATTAGCTTATTGATCAAACGAAATGCTACTGTCATTAGGCAACAAAAAACACCTCTAATCATCGTGCATATACCACAATCACGTACTTATGAGAGAAAGAACACAACATAAAAAACAAGGCTTATATTCAATGATTTTTCTGCTAGGTAATACAAAACATTATTTATGCTCTAGTCAGCTGGATTAAAATGCTCGAGAGAGAGCGAGAGAGACAAGACGGCAACCTCTCCAGATTCGACGTTGTCCAAACAGGGAAATAACTTAGCCTCATATCGTGCCGTTCAGAACAGAACAAGGCTCACTTTTACCACGGTTGAAGACAGCCATGTGGGGATGGGGTTGGCTCCGGGATTGTTACGACTACGGGGGTGTGAATTATATGATCTTTTTGACCCGAAAGATCGTGAGAACATATGGGGTTTGAGCGCCTCTTTTACATTAACATTGCGCTTGGTTTTTGCTGGGTGTTAAAGAGAAGCTTTGGCGATTGCTTTTGTGACGTCGGAGTTTACCCTCGCTGGATGATCTTGGCAAACATATTCATTTAGGGCTATGCTTCGGGGAAATTTTTTCACAAGTTCACGCACTATTTACTATTACTACTGAAAATAGACGTGGAAATTCAGCTTACCATATCGAGGAACTCTGTTAAACTGGTTTAATCCAAATCCCATGTTCAGAAACGAAGTTAGTTCGAGGACGTGAACTTCGTGGCCAAAAGCTGATGACTTCATACCCGAACGGGATATTAATCCAGGCCACTGACTGTACTACACGAACTTACTCGGTCCATCTGTTGATCGATCGACCGGTTGTTTCAACAACTGGTTGGATGTTTGACTTATCGGTTGACCGACTAACCGGTTACATATGTTCTCTCCTTCTCCTTATTGTGTTCACCTGAGAGTGATATTACTGAAAAGATAGGTTCGCTCACATCTTGCTTTCTCCTAATAATCAAGAGCTTGATCCGTATACTAAAAGTTCGAAGTTTCAGGTTCTGTCCCGCTTACGAAACTTCACATTTGTGGGACAGATCCTATTTGACTGCTATCAAATTTGGTTTATTAATTTCGGCAACAGGAGACTGGAATTAGCTGGGATGTAATTCACTCAATTCTACATGGTTTTGCACTCTTCCGTCTGCTTGTAACGTAATGATATGGTTTTTCCTATCGAGGAGAAATCGGTCCACGGAGCCAGTTGCACTGTGGATAACGGTCTGTTACCGTCTGAAGCCGGTGACGAAACGAGGCTATGTGATGTAGTATAGACATGAAACTAACCATTCAGAGGCAGTGTTGATAGCCAATTAGCGTGTGACACAAACACGAAGTCCGGATTTGAGTGCTATATTTATGTATGTACAAGTGTATATATGTCTCAATGGATTTCAGCCCCAATTGACAAGAGTCAACGAGACAGGGAAAATAGCTTCAAAGTGTCTCAGTAGATTCCTAATGTTGAGTTGAGCCTTGTTACTGTATGACGTTTCATTTTCGAAGTATAAACTGCACAAAATTTGAACAAGTCCACCTTTTTTCCACAATTCCTTTTAAACCAACCTATTCAAGATGATCTAAGTAGGGTGGCAGCCATATAATATAATGATTATACACACCGATTTCAGAGGTAACCCAGATAAATCGAATGATCCCGGAGGTCTTACCAGTTTTGCGTAGTTCATTTAAAGTCGGTGAAAATAACCTTTTACTCATCTTTCTATATCGAATCACTCTATTCAACATTCCAAGTGATGTGATTTCTAGTCTATTCCTCTTTATCCTGGACATGACCATCAATCATCCAAGGCAATGGATCCATTTTTCTATATTGCAGATATGGTGCAGATGATAGGAGTTCGTGCACACAATAAAAGCTAACATTCATTTGGCAGGGTCCTCTGCGAAATTTGATTCACTCATACGTTGGTTCAAAGTACCAAGCAAAAGTTATCTCAAGGACTACTCAGAGATACTTTTTCGAATTCGGCGAATCTTTGCGCAACACAGTGACTCGCGTGCTTCAGAATTAATAAACATAGTGATCGATGATCTCGAAGTTTTCTTCAAAATCAAAAGTATGGTGATCGTGGGGGGGTAGAAAAATTTTTCCTCAAGCCTCGCGCCATACTTCCGTTTTAATGAAGGAGAAATGAATCTTAGTATGTGGCTGAGAGATTGGTACTTCTTGAAACATGACTAAACATCCCGGACCGTTTTAAACTGGCTACTAATAACAAAGTCCATTGTTTCATAACCGGCTGGTTATTTTTGTAACTCATCCGGGAGTGGACTTAATGGCATTTTGCATCATATGAGACATATTTTCCCAATATGAGTAAATTTATCTGGGTCGTGATTAGAAACTGTGTGCATATTCACTGTTGGTTTGGGTTGACACATCAGTCCACGGGTTTTGGTGTACTTCAAAAGGAATCGCAGAAAAGTCGGATTGGTTGAATAGTATTTCGTGCTCTAAACTACAGAAGTAGATTCTTTTGACATTTCCGTCTCAAAGTCCAATCATCCTGTACGCACTCAAAATTGCGCAATACCATGACTCGAAGTAGTCCACGATGAAGTCAGGCAATTAAATAGCCTGATATTTCATTGACAGGGAAATATTTTTCAGTGTTTCATTTACTTGAATCTCAAGGGCATTCAAAACCAACAAATCTTTTCCGCAAACAAAAGCTGTGGAAAGCTGTTATTCCCACGCCTATATGAATTTGTGATATATTGTTTCCAATGCCATCTGGTTTACGGACGATCCCGCAGAAATTGTAACTTCAAAATTTCCAGATATCTTTACTCTGGATGAATCTTCGATGCGTCTGATGAGTACGTGTACAGTTGGGGGCACCGTTCTTCTGTCAGATGTCATAAATCTACGAGTCAAGGTCGATAGAATCAGAACATCGATGAACAACCCGCGAACGATGGTCTCCAGTCCAGAAGTAGTGATCACAATGGATGTTTACTGAGAAATGAATCGACTTTCCATATCAAGAGGATGTTCTGTACGAGCACAGATGAGGAGCTCTTTCGAGAGTATAGGAAATTTACTATTTTAGAATGAACATAGGTAGTCTCTCACTGCAAATGTTCGGACAAATTGAGCTTGAAAGTAAAGACAAACTGATGATGTTCCTATGCGATCCCCCGTATCCCCCATCGTAGCGGACCTTTTTCTGCATTCTATTGAATCTAAAACACCAGAGGCTTTTACCCATCACCAACCCGCGTCTTCGCGAGCGACGTGGTAATGATTCCTTTGTTGTTATCAAGTCAAAACAAAAAGAGATCTTCCTTCGTTGTCTATTAGTTCTACTATAAGGACAGAAGATACCAGTAGAGTCATCAGTTACTTAGGCTTTTGTCTGGAAGTGAGCAAATCGCGAAAGTTCAACATTAGTGTATATAGTGAACCACACATTTGGACTAGTATTTGCACTTCAGTTCACCACATCTACAATGTGTGAAACAAACCTTCATTTCCTCGCTAGCTAACAGAGTTGAAAAGCTTTGCAATGATGTCTTCGATCGTGAAGCAGAACTGAAGCGCCTGAATAACGTCTTACAAGACAATAACTATCCACCACATCTTATAAGAAAACAATTGAACATATACAGAACGACAAACTAAGACCAAGAGAGAAAAAGCGATCGTGGCTCCAATTGGAATTCCCTATAGATCGGGCACTTCTGAGGCAATCAGACCATCCTTGGAGACTTCAATATTCATATATTTATCCGTGTGGATAATATCTTAAACCGCCACCTCACAAACGATAAAGACTTAGTCAGCCTGCAAGACCAAGATAATTGCATCTACGAAATCAGTTGTAAGGAATGCCTGGCTGAGTTTACCGGACAAGCCAGTAGACAACTGAAGATCAGACTAGCCTAACATCAGATAAAAGAAGAATAGAGACCTTCTGACAAGACAGCCTTAACAGAACTGGGGCAAGACTCAGCCATCGCTCTTCACTCCATAGCAGAGGGTCACAACATGGATTAGGAAAACATCAAAATACTCCAACTCGGATTTAGAAGCCAGTAAATAACAGTGGTATTTCTACAAGCGGGGGTAGATCCGACTAAATAAGAGCCAGTCCGACTATGAGAACAATCTCTGCACCTGCGTGTACACGGTCAAACTTCACGATACTCGAACCTTAGATTTAGCAATTCAACACAATGTTAGGACTCCGACTTCGCAGCTGATCCGCACCAACATTGAATGATGTGGCAAAAAATCTTAGTATTACCAATATGCAATTATTGACACGGTGTTTACTGTTCCAGTGCTTTCGAGTAACAAATTTGACATCAGCAATAATATTCCGTTTATTTTCACCTAATGCGACAGGTTCACGTGGTCGACTTCACAACAAGCTGGCGTGATGGCCTCGCATTTTGTGCTCTGTTACATCGTCATTGGCCAGAACTGATCGATTTTGAAAATATGCTCACACTGGACTCCAAACCATGGGAACGTATCGAGATGGTATTCAAACAAGCCACGGATCATTTGGGTATTCCCCGACTGATGGAACCTATTGATTTGTTTGAATATTGTTGGTCCGATGAACGGTGCATTCTTACCGTGGTGGTCACTTGGTATCAGTATTTAACCAGTTCTCTATCGGTAAAAGTTCACACTAGTCGACTGAGTCATGTACTCAGGCAATGCTTGAATATCGATCAAATGGCTCTGCAATATAAGACCAAGTTGCACCGTTGGTTCCAGTGGGCGGATGTCATAAAACGACGGCTAGTTTCAACTGAACAAGATCTGATCCCACAGAGTTTGAAATGTTCGGATCCAGAAAACTGGATACGTGATCAATTGAGATCGATCTCAGAATGGAGTCAAACAGAAAAATTGGATCGAATGTTGGAACGAAGTGAAGTGGAAGTAAGTAAAACATGGTCGGATGAAGCTATTGTTCGTTTTGATTAGGGGCTAAGAAGTTATCGTATGAGGCGTGCAATTGATGGTTCAACCCATACCTGAACGATTGTCTCATCAATCTTAGCTCTGAACAAAGCGACGTCAATCATCAGATGTGCACATAAACCTTCGTCATACGATTTTCCCCTGCTTTTGTGTTGATCTGTTCTAAATTCCTTTATTTTTGTCCTGTGCCTCAGATAAACTTACCTGGTATTGCGTGTACAGCTGAAAATTGAGGAGGAGGGAGCTGTATTTCCGCATTTTACAGTTTGTGTCTCATATCTGCATGCATGAAATTCAAAGTAAAACCAGTTGTCAAGATCATTTTTTCAAGTGTTATATTATCCTCAACAACATTGGTAACTAGTGGTTTTGCGAAGCCTAAGTTTACACGTTTCATAAGCACCTGATCACGTTGGGTTTGTCGTTTCGGTCGCAGACATTTCAACACCGTCAGCAGTGGTGACGTCAAATGTAGTTCACAGTCTGTCCACGTGACTGTTCTTATTGATGAAACTACTTCACTAAACACTGTGAAGACAAAAGTAAGGGAGAAAACTTTTTGAGCCAAATCCCAGTGCTTGTATTGACTGGTTTCCACAGTTACCCCACCAACAAATCAGTATGAAGCGGTCTATACCACGCGGTCAAAACTTGACTTTTTAATCATTTGTGCTTATTTCTCAACATACGAACTTCAATTCGGGCCTGTATTATTGCCACCATTTCTACGATTAAAAGTATGGTCATGGGATTATTTATTAATAAAATTTCATAAGTATAATTGCACGCGGAGTCGGGGTTCTTGACTATGAAGTTTTAGGAATTGATATCGTTTGTCTATGGTTCATCTAGTCAATCAATCAGGTTATTTTACTAAAAATATCACCAATAAAAAGGGCCGGATAATGAACACTAGCTCTCTCTGATGCCAAAGAGTGCTGTAGCGAATAATATAGATTATCTTCGACAGACAAACGGACATTATCGTGGACTTGGGTCTTGATGCTCCGGGTTCGGATCTTGACACGACCGGTCACATCCCCATTTGGTAACCATTTATTAGCCGTGGCCTCGACCAGCAAATATTTTACATTCTCATATAACAAGCATAAAAGAAGAACAAAGGTTAGAGTTGTATAATAGTCAACCTAGTAGACTGTTTGATGGGATGAATGTCAATGTCAGTATGATTCTGTGGGACAGGGGTTGGATTTCTCAGTTTACCATGGTGAATCGGATTCAACTCGCTCCTGATTCCATTGCTGATAGATACCAGTTAAAGTTCTTTACTTTACACCTTTTAGCTTGGTGGGTCTTTTTTTATACCTTTTTAATTTTAAGTGAAGCTGTTGCAACTTCAAGTGAATCATTCGTAACTCAAAGTGAAACACCCAGTCGCACCGCTTTGTGAGCGCAGACCGGTGATAGGCTCAGCAGCGGCCACTCGACACCTGTCCACGAAATCTCTCTGCCCCATGTTGACCCTTATGGCGATGATAACTTCTGCTACCGGTGAGCTGAATTCTCGTTGACAATCGCAACATTTTGCGCAAGAGCTTAGGGGAGGTGAAGAGGTGTGATCACTGTTGCTACGACCTCTCCAGCGATTGTGACGAGTATGGAAAGTACGATCACGATCTAATCAAACAATAATTGACTTTTTTAGAATGAAACCTGACCAACGAGCCGATGGCGTGTCTGAAGGACGAATGGCTAGGGGAAGATTGAGACGGCCAACAAAAGGGACAGCGTTAGTTGACCTTGTATTCCAAGATACTGCAGTTCCTGAAGCTTTTTACATGGAAAGGATGGTGAACCCCGTAAATGAAGAAGGAAAGAAACGAAAAGAACAATGACCTGCTGGTAACTACTACAAAAGTTATGGATAGAGGGACTGAACTGAGAAAACTACATTGATGACTGGGATGAGCGATAGTGGAAAATCAATTTCAGTTCGCCTTTATCACTGCCTGGTTCATGAAGTCTCCACTTTAAGTAGAAGAAAGACGTTGAAGTCTGGGAGGAGGAACGGACGCAGTTCAGACCGAGGAACGATAGTATTAGGTTACGTACATAACAGATCTAGCCATGACGAACACAGGCAACTGAGGAGACCAGGAATCTGTACAGACTACCCTAAAGTTTTGATCTGCTATAGGAATAGCTAACCTCAAACTGTGTTGATTCTCCGAAATCCCTTCATAGAAAAAGCTGCAAGCCACAAATTTGCCACCCAGAATTCCCTAAAACTCAATGGTTTGATCCCGTCCTGAATAAAATTTAGTTCGACATTTTATACCTTAATTTGATTTAAAGCCCACAAGCAAAATAAAAACAACAAATGTTTGCAGTGATCCGTTTACCTAGAAAAAAATGATTGAATAGTCTCTTTTATATAAACCAGGATGAAATACCGGGATAACTGTGGAAGATATACACTGGTGTTTGAAGGGAATAATCATAGACAGCGGAGCATTAGGCTTTCGTGGTCTGCAAATTCAAAAGGATGAGAGAGGCACTTTTTCGTTAGTAATTTATACTTGAAAAGACCAGTGCAAGTTATCTTGTAACCAAACGCTGCATATTTCACAAATTCCGCCACATCAACCGAGTTAGAGTAGTTGGTAGCAATGTCTTCTATAAAGAGCAGTCACAAGGTGTAGCAGATGCACTTTTGAGATTTGTCATTGTTTAGCAGAAGAACAGGTTGCTTCGAAAAGTTTTGAATCTGTGAAATATTTTCCACAAACCCATTTTATTCGGACTACTTGGATACATGCTGAGCTAGAACAACGTCATTAGAGTACTCGGAGACGAGGTGAGTGGTCCACGATTACTTTCCCAGTTTAGAATGACAATAATTACGGAGAAGGGAGAGTATATTGAAGGACAAGGGCATTGTTTATGGAATGTGTGGAGACATTTCTGTAAACTTTGGAACATTATGTACTTCTCAAGAAGTAGTATTTTAACCAATTATGCACTGCTGTATATCATGTCTGGAACTGTGCGCGACGCGGATATGCGTAGACCGGAAAAGCAGTGTGTATGGCTTAAAGTTCATCTGTTTTTATATGTGAAGCAATGTGGCACGATTGCTTGTCGCTGTGCCGACCAGTCAAAACGTAAGCCGGTTGCATCAAGATGATCCGACTGTCTAGTTCCGAGTACGCGTGATTAGTTGGGTTTTGTTCTAGTTGGCACTTACGAAGCTATGCGAAGATGTTCGGATCAACACAGTAAGACGAATCTAAAGAAGTTCATCATTGGATGAGAAGTACCATTTTGTTGATTTCTCACTAGGTGTCGATATTGAAGGTGGACGATCAGATGGACTGAAGTGTCGCTGGGTGACTGAATTATCGATGGTGGAAGAGTGACGATATGATAGTACCTCATCCTTAAAAGATAGGAAGTGAAAACCTGATCCCTAAGTGAATTGATTTGACTTAAAAGCAATGCAGAAAATGGTTGAACTCCATCGCACATTCGATCAGAACGATTGTCATGAGATCGAACTTTTGATTAGGCAAGCATCTGTTGCAATTAAACTCTTCACAACATGATTCCATCGGTGTTTGATTGATCGTAGCACTTGCAGTTGCACGAGATACTCCATCTCATCAACGAACTGAAGGCATTGTAAACAGACTTGGTCGATATTCCAGCAGACCCTTGCTGGCTTAGAATTGGTGTGTAACTTGAACTCGTAAGCGACGAATTGCAGAAAATTTAATTATTTTCAAATACACCAAATGAAGTGGAAAGCTGCACCACTGTTGATTAAATGTTAATAATTTATACGCGAAAACCAGAAGAGCAGAAATCGAAACTATGGTCGAAACAAAGAGTGGCTAAAGTTCGTTACTCCCAATTAATTTTTGGTCTACGGACAAGTAATTACACGGAGAAGATAGTAAATAGAATAAAGAGTGTTCCCAAAAAACAGAATCAATTTTTGGGCTTTTTCTCAAGATTGGGAAAAGTGGGGTCCACAAATTGGACGAGATTCGCTGCACAAGAAGTGGACCCCTAATGAAGCAAGGTTTGAGCGGAGATTTGGGGAGTTATCGACGGTAGCCGAGAGTGCCGCGTTGCAGTTAGTTCTTTTCAGTGCTCCCTTGAATGGTTCATTCACGTCGCTTCTAAGGAGTGAATATGTGTAGATGTGTTTGTGTCCACTTCGGCTACGTTTACAGATGGCGAAAATGACTGAGACTGGACTGCTATTACCACACAACGTTGAATACGATTATTGTTTTTTTCTTGTTTCTGTGTGCTCTTTGGTACAATAACGAATTAGGTTAAGACCATTGTTTGTTTCTGATTAGTGAGAGAGAAAATCTTGAAATCGGTGTTCTGTTTAGACTGTTTTGGTTAGAGCAACTCTCGTTGAATAAGTTCTGCCAGCCGTGGTGTCGGCAGGCCATTCGGAAAGGCCAAT